GGGGTTGAGGGTGGGAGAGGCAGGCTACAGATGACCCTCTATTCTGGTCCTCCAATCCCCTCCCAATCCTTGGCTCTGCTCACAGAAGTAGAATGATTTGTCCAAGGTCACACAACTAGGATGTAGCCAAGGCAGAATTTAAACCAAGTACCTCTTCCTGAAAATTTGGGTCATTTTCCATCCTGCCATACCCTATGTGGAATATTTTTAAGAGGAGACTCCTCAGCCTGGTCTTGAGGGAATAGATCGGGTTCAGGGCTCTGTAGAGACAGGGGCATCACTGAGGTGACTTCTAAGGCTGCCTGATTGCAGGGTAAGGAAGAGGTAGGGCAGAGGAGACACTGGAGGCTGAGGGCAGGGGGTACTCTCTCTGACTAGGCTCTCATCCAATACCTGGCAATGACGCTGGCCAAAGCCCTGTCCCCACACGAGGCTTCCTCCCCCCTCCCCCCCAACCATGATCCAAGAGCAGGAGCAGAATTAAGAACATCAGGGTTATATTGGGAGCCCTGGGCACTGGGACAGAGTCACTTTTAGCCCTGGGCAAGGACACAGAAGCTATTTCTGCCTTCACACTTCATGAGGAATTTGGGGGGGGGGCATCCAAGGAGCTGGCACTCTAAGGATTTCAGTTGCTATGCCTGGGACACCTGGAGCTTGGGGTGGGGGAGGGGGGATGGCACAGCTAGCGCTGTCCCTGCATGGGAGAGGGGAGCACAATGGGATTGCCCGCAAGGTAGGTATAAAGATCTACCCAAAGTGGAGGGGAGGATGTTGCCAATAAGACCCCATCTGCAGTCAGGTCTATCACAGACCCCAAGTCTGTAAAGTCTGGGCTAGATGATCTCTGAGGCTCCTCCCAGCTCTAACTCTACACTCCTATTACTTTGGGCAGGTCATGTCACCTCCTAGGCCTCAGTTTCCTCATTTGCCCAGTGAGGAGGTTGAACCAGTGCCCTCTGAAGCCCTTCCAACTCCGGATGTGTGATCTCTAAAGCAGAGGAAATAATACCCATGCCATTGCTTCACAAGCATGTTGGAGGGACACTGAAAGCTGCTAGTGCTATGACGTCATTAAGACACCTGCCCCATCATCCGGCAATATCCCACAATTCAAACTCACTGCAAGTAGAGACTGTTTAAATTGGTTTTGTCCCCTGAACATAGTAAGTGTTAAATAAATGCTGAGGGGGTGAAATTGTGGACCATAATCACTGGGCTTCCCACATTCACAAGGTCAAAGATACCAAGAGGCAGGGCTGTACTTAGCAAATTTGATTTGGGGGCAAAAACCACCAAAGAGTGAGTCTGAGTTAACCTTCCATTGGGAGAGGGATGGGATACAGCCCGGTGGTAGGGAAACACAAAGTCCCTGAATATTGGTTCAAGGCCACTGCTGGAAAGGTTGACGGGGAGAGGAGAGAGCTCACCTCTCTCCACAGAAAAAACAGAAAAGGCTGTCAGCACTCTCTAAATTTGGCACCCTGTGGCAGAGCCCCGGTCACCCTGTCCTGGTTACAGTTATGCCAGGGCGAAGTCAGCCCAGCCCTCATCCACTCCTCTAGTTTCAAATCTGAGAAGCATTGTCTCCATTTTACAGGTGGGGAGAGTGAGGTGCAGAGAAAGTTCACAGAGTGGGGGACTGGCCCAGGGTAGTGATTTGCTTTCTTACCCAGTCTCCTTCAGGGATTTGAGGACAGACCAATTCCTATTTTACATATGAAACTAAGGCACAAAGAGGGGAAGTGATTTACCCAAGGTCTCATTGGCAATAGCAACCAGCTGAGCTAAAATCTGAATCTAGGGTCTCCGACTACAAACCTAGTAATCTTTTCATTATAACAAACCATCTCCCTGCTGGGAACTTTTTGTGGGGGAGGGGTACGGAGACAAGAGCCAAGCTTCCCATGCAGCAATAATTCTCCTGACAATGGACAAGGCCCTTCCCTCCTCGCTGTAAGCTTCCCACCCACCCCCATTGCATATTGAGCTGAGTTCCCTCTTCCAAGACCAGAGGAGAAGATGGGTGTGGTGTGATCCCAGAGATTGCTGGTCTGGTGTCATAGAATCTGGATTCAGATCCTCACCAAGTCACTTACTTAGCATCTGACCATAGGAAAGTCCCTTCCCCTCTTGGGGCCTCAGTTTCCTTAAGTGTCAAATGAGAGACTGGAACAGATGATAGCTAAAATCACTTTTAGCTCTAAGACCTATGATTCAGCCTGAAGGCTGATGCCAGGCCTCTCTTTCTCTGTACCCTCCCAGACCTGGGGATTTCCATGGGCGATGGGGGAAAAGGGGAAGGTTCAGAACTAGAGCAAAAGCCCTGGCCAGGCTAAAAGATGGGCCTGGCCACTGGACATCCTTAGGGCCTGTCCCCAAATGTTGCACATTGGGAGGACTCCCAGTTCTCCTCATGAGAACCTGCAAATGCCCCTTCCCAGGTCCAAGGACTTCAGTAGCTCCTGCCCAGGGAACTGTCTAGAAGCCCTTCTGAGCATTGTTCTCAGGCCCTGAAGGTCACTGAAGCTGACAATCCTGCCCTTTGGGGGCTAGCCTCACTGATTCTACTACTGTGGTATGAATGAAACACCCTTCTCTTCTCCTCCCCTTATGCCTCTCTGTGTTCCCAAGAGTGTTGTGTCACAGATCACAGCCCAGACCACTGGGAGCAGGCTTCACAGTGGGGTGACCTGTCCATCAATGAGCACTCATTAAGCACCTACTGTGTGCCAGGCATTGTGCCAAGAGCTGAGGATATGGAAAAAGGACCAAAGACAGTGTCTACCCTCAAGGAACTTTAAATCTAATGTACAAACAGACCATACCAGAAGCCAGATAATTAACACTGGAATTAAGTGGGCTGGGGAAAGGCTTCCTGGCCCTCCGATGCCCCATCCCTGACCACCCCAGTGGGTGGTTAGTATGGGACCAAGTCATTCCACATATCTCCTGCCTCTGACATGGGGGAACCACCCAGCAGGGGTGGTTCATCCTAGAAGGCTGCTTCAGGAAGAGGAAATAGCGGTATTACAAGGGAATATCTCAGGTCTTAGATTCAAAGGTGGAAGGGACTTCAAGAGTTGTCTGGCCCAAACTCCCATTTTACAGGTGAGGAAACTGAGGCCCCAAAAGTGAAGTGATTTACCCAAGGTCACCCAGTCACTCAAAGGGCAGAGGTAAGTTGTGAGCATGGGTTTTTTGGCTCCAAGAATCAGAGGGCTATTCTACAGCCCCAGAGCTCACCTTTTTATGGTATTTTAAGGTTTTCCAACACTTTTACATATAGTGGAGAGAGTGTCTGGCCTGAAGTTAAGAAGATCTGAGTTCAAATCTAGCCTTGGACACTTACAAGTTGTATGACCTTGATCCAGTCACTTCTTGTCTGCCTGCCTCTGTTTCTTCAACTGTAAAATGAGGGAAATAATAGCACCTACCACCCAGGATTATTGTGAGGACCAAATGAGTAATATTCGTAATGCCCTTAACAGAGTGTCTAACACATAGTAGGTGCTATATAAATGCTAGTTATTATTAATAATAATAATGATACTCTCATGTGATTTCCCACCCCAGTCCTGGGAGGCAAAGATGACAGGTGATTATTGTCCCCATTTTACAGATGAGAAAACTGAGGCTGAACAAGGTAAAGTGATTTGTCCAGGGTCACACAGCTAGAAAGTATCTGAGGAGGGATTCAAACCCAGTTTTCTAGACACCAAGTCCAATGCTCAGTCTACTGGGAAGCAAGATAGTCAAACTATGACCAAACTATGGCTGTGAGAGCTCTTGGGTGTAGTACAGAGAGCACTAGATTTGGAGGCAGAGAAACTGGTTGGAATCCCAGTCCTGCTGTATTTTGTGAGACCTTAGGCAAGTGACATTAACCCTTCTGTACCTCAGTTTCCCCATCTGTCAAATGAAGGGCTTGGACAAGAGGAACTAGCTCGAGATTGATTCCTAGGAGCCTTTTAAAAGACAGTGTTGGAGGGCAGGAGATGTTTTCCCTAACACAGAGCTGCCAGGGGGACACGTAGCCCTCATTCTCACCCTCCCACCTCCAGAGTAAGAACCCAGGCAGAAACAGCAGGAACTGGGCACTTCCTGCGAGAGTTTCCTTCTTCCCTCCCGCCTCAGACAGGAAGCATCGGCCTGGGCTCAACATCTGTCCTGTCCTCCCCCATTTCCTGTTGCTTTCATTCCCACCCACCCCCACCTCAAGCCAGGAGAACTTGGTAGGTAGGAAAGGGGAGGCACGCCTCTAGTCCAAGCCTCCAACCTCCACCCCCAACCAGGGAGAACGGATTGAGGTGGGAGCTAAGAAAGGGACCCAGAATTCCCCTTACCACACTTCCTATACTAACCACTGAGCCGTGTAGGATATAGGACGTGAAGGGACAGGATGAGAGACAGTATCTCAAGGGGGTGGGGGTGGGGCACAGGCTCTCCGTTCACCAGGGAGCTCAATTCTCCTCCCCATTCTGGAACTCAGTCCTAGATCAGAAGCTGAGAAGGACACCATGGAACAGTTCAAAGAGCACTGGGTCACTCACTACTTTCTTTGAGAGGCCTTTCCCAGACCCCCAACAGCTAAAGCCCCCCCCTTCACCTCTGGCTGCATCGCCTATGTACCTAGTTATATGCCCATTTTCTTCTCCATTAGACTGTAAGCTCCCTGAGAGCAGGAACTTTGTGCTTTTCTTTGTATCTTTAGAGTTTAGAACAGTGATTGGCACACAGCAAGAGTTTAATAAATGCTTGGTCATCCATTGGCATCAGAGGACCTCAGTTCAAACACCTGCCCTGCCATTTACCACCTGCCTGACTTTGGGCAAATGATTTTCCCTGAAGTCAAGTCAGATAACCTCACTTTATCTGTAAATGAGGGGGGTTGGACTATGGAATCGATAGGGTGCCTAAATTCTACAGTCTGTGGGAGATATTCCCAAGCATGCTCTCTCTCTCTCTCTCTCTCTCTCACACACACACACTCACACACACACACACACACACACACACACACAGAGGTCCCTTCACAACTACCTCTAGGATCAAACAACTCTTAATGGAACAAATGATTCCATTCCCACTTGGGAAGAAGGGTTCAGAGACCCAATCCTTGTTAAAGGGATGTGGAGGGAGGCAGGGCCATCCTGGTCCTCTGTGAGGCCTGGGATCTGGTGAGAGCTCAAGAGATGGAGCTTGACTCTTAGCTCAGATCCTAATGTTGTTGCTCCATAGCAGGGAAGAACTCCCCTCCTCCCACTCCTCACCAAACAGCCCTAGGGAAGCTTCTCTGGATCCAAAAGAAGGAAAAGTCTTGAAGACTTCTAATGACTGAGCAACTTTGGTCGCTCAGGGATTGGCGCTGAGATCTGAGTTCTGATGGACTGAGGAGGGGACTGACTGGCTCCCAAAGCACCTGGGCAGTGCCCGTGGGCACCACTAAGTCCCCAACAGGGTCCAGGAGAGGGGCAGCATGGTGACTAAAACAGGGGGCAGTAGGAACTCCACCCCCTGGATGTGAGTGCCCTTGGCCAAAGCACTGTTCACCTAGGGACTAGGTAATGGTCTGGCCCTGAGCAAGGCAGTGGGAGGAGCCCATTGGGGGGGAGGGGGAAGGGGCGGGTTGCCTGCGGACTCCAGCTTCCTGGTTAGCCCTCCCCCCACCCCTACCTCCAGGGGTTGGAGGGCCCCGGTCACACAGCGTAGATATGAGGGTTTCCTGCTGCTGCCCTGGGCTCAAGCATCCTCTAAGGACCAGTAATTCAGTTTCAGGAGGAAGACGCACTAAGGAGATCGAGGGTCCCTGAGGCCAGCCCTGAGGAGGTGAGTCAGTGCCTCAGGGGACTGGAGGGAGAGAGGGGTGGGGAGGGGTGTGGGAAGCAGGGCGAGGCTATCTCATCAGCTGGGTGTGGGGTGGAGGGTACTGACCAAGGGGTCTCTGCGCTCCTTTTGCTAAGTGTGCGGGTTGGGTGCATCTCCCAAATCCCAGCTCCGCTGAGGCAGCAGCCTCGGCTACGCGAGGGCGGACCGGCCCGCCCAGGGCTACTCAGCTCAAGGAAACCGGAGTGTTTCCTTTCTGACAGGCGGTGAGTCAGACCGCCCTGGGAACCTTGGCGGGCCGGGAACCCAGGAGTCCTGGGGACTGGGGCAGCCCCCAAAGGGGCCAAGCCCGAATGGGGGAACGAGGGCGAAGAAGCAGAACCCGAAGTGAGTGTAGACCGAGCGCAATGTAGACACCCCCTTCCCTCACTAGAGCGGCCGCTCCTCCAGAGCCCCAGGGGAGTCCGCTCCCGGCCTCTCCGCCCCCTCACCCACCCACAAAGGCGCCCACGGTAGCAAGAGGGTGGAGGTGAGGGGAAAGAAGGAGACAAAATCTCCGCGCCGGCCCATTTCCCAAAGCCGACAAATCGAGGCTCGCAGGACCAGTCCAGCCGCAGCCAGGAACGCTCACCAGCAGCAGCTCGTTTCGCGGCTGGAGACCAGTCGGTCTCGGCGGACAGATCGAGATCCTTGGGGGCCCCCTTCCCGCCCCGAAGGCACCACCTTTAATGATTCGTATCGCGGCCCCAACCCACCCTCCGCGGGCTCGGGCCAGTGGGGACCCAGCCAGGCCAAGACAAGGGAAGGTCGGGGCTAGGAGCTCACCTGCGGGAAGTCATGTCTCTACCACCCGGGACCCCGGTTTAGGCGCCCCTTACACGCTCTGTGGACAGTCGCGGCCGGGCCACAGCCCTGCCCGCCTCGGCCCCGCCCCGGCCGGCCACCAGGCCCCGCCCCCTCTGGGCCGCATATGGCCGTGTCACGCCTTTTTTCTCCAGGAATCTCCGCCTCCTTTAACCTTATATGGGCTCTGGAACCACGTGGCCGCCGCGGGAGGTCCCTCCCTCCCACCGAGGGCCACACTTCCCCCGGCTCCAGAGCCCGGTCCGTAGTTATCGAGTCCGCGGCCCTTAAAGGAGCCGCACCACCCCAATCTGGTTTCCTAAAAAGTGGAAGGGAGCCGCCTCTAAGAGCGGTGTCCAGCCTGGCTCCGCTGAGCGGTCCACAGGCTCGGTCATGTTTCCCAAGTGCACTTCGCTAGAAAGAAAAAAGCAGCTTTTGTGCACTTTCTTTTTTGAAATTCTGACTCAGTTTCTCCGCTCGCACAGCCTCAGCTCAAGCAGTTTCGGGGCTGATTTCTCCGGAAAGAGGAGGTCCTGGGAACAGTTGCCTCTTCTTCCTCTCCTACATTCTTCCCTGGATTTAGGTCGGGAGGCTGGGAAGGTCTGTGGATGAGGCTGGTGCCCTACCCCCTGCTCCCCGGAAGCCTGGTCAGACTGGCTTCCCCGTGGGCCCGGGCTTGGTGCTGCCGCAGTGGACGGAGAAGACAGCTATGTGGGCCACCCCCACTTACCCACACACAAACGCACACAGCCCACCAGATGGATGTCCACTCTAACCCGAGGCAAGGGAGATGAGGATGCAGGTGCCCAGCCTTGAGCCTCCCCCAGCCCCTGCCAGAGAATGCCTCCCCTCCCCCTGGCAGCCCTCCCTTTCCAGCTATTAATAACTCCCTCAGCCTGATCATTTACTAAATATACCCCCAGGCATGGGGTTAGGCCCCCAGGCAGCCGGCTTCTCACACAGGTGCGGGACAAGGTTGTTCTCCCTCCCCAACGCGGTCCTAGCCAGAGCTATCTCCAGCTTGGCCTCCAATAAGGGTCACGGAAGGTGAGTACAGAGATGAGAGACCCTCAACTAGACCCGGAGCTAGTTGCCCATCTGTCCTTGGAAGGGGGAGACAGTTTCTAAGTGTCATCATCTGCCCTACGATCTAGCCCTGGTGTGTTACCAGCTGAAAAACAGTCACAACAGAATAGAAAATATAAAAAAGATAAATGTCTAGATGACTGTCCGTTATCTTCCCAGGTCGGGCCCCCTTCATTCCCTGTGGATTCCATAAGATTATATTTCAGCGGGCTCAGTCTGAAAGATACAGGCTGTGGCTTCAATTGAGCAGCAGGGTAGAAGGTCCACCTACAAATGGCACAGTTCACGGTGGGATCGAATAGCGAACATAAGAGAGGTGCAGAGAAGGGTGAGGACACTTCAGGCTCTGCTTAGTACAGTACCTAGCACTTAATAAATGTTCATAGACTGACTGATGGACCCAGAGAAGGTGACATCCATTCAAGCTAGATCTTGGAGAATGGGTGGATTTCAACAGATGGAAACTTTGGCCTGTGGGGGACAGGGTCTTGAGGCAGAAGTTGGGTGGAGAGCCATCCTGAGGTGCTTGGGAAAGGAAATGATTTTTCAGGCCTGCCATTTATACCTATCCCATAAAAAAAAAACTGGTACTGGTAAGTGCAACATGGATGGTGGGGGTAGGGAGACATTCATTCAATATTCAATTAAACATACTCAATGCACTGAGCTGGGCCTGGAGGATGACACAAAGATTAAAAAATAATGGCACAGTCCCTACCCTCCAGAAGCTTACATTCTGTTTCACAGGGAAACATCTGGTGGGTTACTTGTGTGCAGAATTTTTATGAGCATAATTGGGGTGGAAAAGGTTAAAGGAGCCCCCTCCCCTCTTGCCTATTCCCCTCTCTCTCACTCCTACATAAGAATAATATCTCTCAAGCATGATGGTCAAGGAAGACAGGCAGAGGAAGGGCAATATCCTTTAAGAATGCACAGTGAGGACAATGACCTTTTGAGGATTGTCCCTCAGGCATAATGCTCAGTGAAGGGGAACAACGTCCATAGAGGATAATGTACAATGAAGTTAATGTCATTCAAGGACAATGTCCGTGGAGGATAATGCCCCATGAGGGTAATGTCCAATGCTGGTAACATCACTTAAAGATAATGGCCACCAAAGACAGCGTTGTTCAAAGAGGATGCCCAGTGAAGTCAGAAGAACTCCAGTGGCTAATGGGGAGTTACCAGTAGACTACAAACTTGCCTTGGGGGTGGGGAGAGCCCAGGCTTGGAGCCTTGGAGTCACCCCTCCCCCCATGGAGCCTGAGCACTCTGGAGAAGCATTACATACAGATAGATAATGGAACTCCATCCCCTACCCTAGGGAATAATTCTTCCTTATCCATGTTTCCCTTCCAAGAACCTCAGAAGTCTTTCCGGGCATCAGCTCCTTAGTGGAGGGCAGGCAGTGGAGGGGGCTGGGTAAATGGTAGAGTGACTGGGAAGGGGCAGAGTGGGGGCCAAAGAGAGGGGTGGCAGCCAAAACTTCAGTCCCAGGATGGGTAGGAGTTGTCGTGGGAGTGGGAAGAATTTGGACACCGCCCAGACTGGTGGGGCCATGAGAGAAAAAATGAGGCTCGTAGGAGTCCCCTCTGTGTGGGCCCATTCTGCCCAGTTTGACCCATGACGATGACATCAGTCACAAGCCCTTGGGAAGGAGAGGGGGGTTGGGATTCTGTTAATTTGGCCAGGAGGAACTCACTAAGCAGACAAAAGGAAATATCACCTTTCCCAAAGCCCCCAGGACTGCCCTTCTCAGGAACAAGGAGTTTGACTAGACAGACACACAGAACGTGTGGGATGAGGGTAGCTTGAAAGGTCTTTCAAGGTGAAGCTCCCTAGAGAGGCCATCTCACCCCTCCCCCGCCTCCAGCTTCTGGGCTAAAGGTTCTCTCTCCAAACTAGTCCACCCCCCGCCTCACAACCTGGGAAGCTAGGGATGGGCTGCCCTGAATCCCTCCCTATGGAGGCCCAAAATGACCCCATCAGTTCTTTCTGATCCTGCACAAGGCTCCAAATTAATTCCTTGCTTTCATCAGGGCACCAGACGCTCATGTTTAAGAATCTTTCACAACTTCTTGTTCCCTACCACCCATTCATTAAACATTCAGAGAATTACCAAATTTTCGAGTGGGAAGGGATCTCAGTGGCCATCTGATGGGACCCAGACCTGAGCAAAAAATCCAATCATCAGGTAAGTCCTAACTTACCCAATGAATGGGACCTCCCACTGGTCCCCTGAGGAAATCCATTCCACTCTAAGATAGTTCTAATTGCTGCCAAGTTTTTCCTTCTATTAAGGCAAATTTGCCTCCTTGTAACTTCTCCCCTGTGGGCCTAAGCAAAATGAGGCCAATCTGTCTTCCAGCCCTCAGTCCTTCAAATATTTGAAGGCAGCTTCAAGGCGTCCCTCTCCAGGCTAAACATGCCCAGTCTACCATCACCTATCTATTATGAGGGATCCAGGACTAAGGCACAATCACTGCTCTTTTGGGGATCAGATGAGATTTCATTGTTTCTTATTGTTCAGTCCTTTCAGGCACGTCTGACTCTTTGTGACCCCACTGGGGGTTTTCTTGGCAAAGATGCTGAATTGATTCGCCATTTCCTTCTCCAGCTCATTTTTACAGATGACAGAACTGAGGCAAACAGGGTTAAGTGACTTACACAGGGTCACACAGTTTTTGAGGTCACATTTGAACTCGCTAAGATGAGCCTTTCTGACTCCAAATCACTGTGCCTCCTAGCTGCCCTATGGTACAGTCACCGTTCCTTTGGGGATCAGATGAGACAATGTACGGAAAATGCTTTCTAAATTTTAAAGTACTACACACCTTTCCATTATTGGTACTCGGGAAGCTTACAACATAGTAATAGGATGTAAACACCTTGAAAGCAAGCAATATCATTTTTTAATCTTTGTATCTTCAGAACCCTCTGGGCAGCATGGCAGAGACAAGACTAGAAAGCCAAGCTTGAAGACAAAGACCTCATTTAACTTCTCAATGCTCTAGGCTGGGCTCTGTGCTGACTTGCATTAATATCTTCACCTGTTCCTTCAATCTATGGAATCACAAGTTCCGGTACCCATTTCCAATGTCAGGCATAGAGTGGGCAATTAATAAATGCTTTTTGATTAATAGTACACCAAATCCAAATTCCATCTATCATTCAATGCCTCCCTTGAAATTTGGTCCCTCCCTATCCATGACTTATCTTCCAATATTCCCCTCTAGTGATATCCCCACAGTTGTCATGCCTCACCTCATGCACATTAAAAATGCCCCAACTACCATCCATCCTAAAGGGAAGAGCCAGCTCCAGCCTCACCACCTTCATGAAATCTTCTCAGAACAGCCCCCCATAAGCCTTGATCTCCAGCCTCCTTGGAGCTGGGATATGTTCAGCCTACACCAGCTCTAGCACCAGAACCACACTGCCATTTCCCAGAATGCTCTGGGTGGGTCCTTCCTCTCACCCTGACTCAGAAGAGCCAAAGTAGCCCAACACAGGTGTGGGCATTGAGGGCACTGAAGGACCATAGAGAGAAACAGCATGGGGTAGCTGACAAACTGTGTCCTCAGGCAGTATACTCAAAATTAGGAAGATTTGGGTTGAAATTTTGTCTCAGACACATAACTGGGTTACCCTGGGCAGGTGACATCAATACCAAGGTGTGACTACTGCACATGCCACAGCTTCTTGCAGCCCCAGGTGAGGGTTGGGTGACAGGTGGATGAGCAGCCCCGAAAAGGGCTCCATAACCCCTCACATCAGAGGTATTAGTCCTCCCTGAATACCCCATAATCCCCTTCCTTGTCCTTTTTTTTTTTGGTGAGGTAATTGGGGTTAAGTGACTTGCCCAGGGTCACACAGCTAGTAAGTGTCAAGTGTCTGAGGCTAGATTTGAACTCAGGTCCTCCTGACTCCAAGGCTGGAGTTCTATCCACTGTACCACCTAGCTGCCCCTCTTCTTTGTCGAAAGGGGAACTCAAAACCTGCATAGTCCCTCTGAGCCTAATAGGATCCTTGGTCCAAACCCTGCAATGGCCAGTTACATAGACCTGTGTGCATACCTTACAGAGGTGGGTTGAGAATAGCTGGACACTCTTAGTGGTCTCTAGCCTGGTCTAGGTGGGACTGGCCCTGCCCCTTTCCCTCATAATCTCATGAGACACAAAAACTCATTTTCAAGTTTTCAAACTTTATTTCATGGCGACTGACAAAAGACACACATAAAGTTAGTAATGGTTACATCATGCTGAGTGGGGGTGGGGAGGCCTGGAGGCCACTGCCCAAAACAGAAGAGAGTGGGGCGAGGCCTACCTTGGTGTGGCATGGAGAGGTATGGTGTGGCATGGCGAGGTCCCAGCCCCTCTCCCTAACCCCCAACAGGCCTCCTGGCTTCTCTTACAAACAGAAAATTAAGTGTCCACCAGGCCCAGTCTTGAGTCCTGGCTACCAAGGGGACTGTGCCCAGCTGGGGGGGGGGATGGGAATGGGGAGAGGGCACAGGGAAACAAGGACACAAATGTTGCATTTTAAGGCGTTTCTGATCCCAGCAAACACCACCACCCTTCTCCCCTCCCAGTAACTGGGGAAGTTTCCCGGGGTCCAATGTTTTTCCCAACTTGTGGGATACCAAGACCACCTCCAGGGAGGAGAGAAAGCCATGGCCATATTTTCTTACTTATAAGGTGCAGCCCCATCCAGTGTATCATCCACCCTCCCCTACTTCAATGCCTCTCTCCCTCTTTCTTATGGGAGGCTGCCCCACCCCTACCCCACCCCCTCTGTTCTCCCCTACGGCAGTAGTGCTGGGGAAAGGGACAAAATGAAGGGGCTCCAGCTTTGAGATAGGGCACACCCTAGGCTCTAGCGCCCAGGGATAAGGAACGGATTTGAAAACTGTTCCCCTCCCCCTGCCCCTCACTCCACCACCCCCATGGATAAATCATCCTTTCTGAAAGACAGCTTTAAGAGCCACTTACACTCGGCTCCCTCTGAGACTTCCATGCCCCCCCAACTCGAGTGCTGAAAAATGAGGGTGGGGAAGGAATAAAAGTCCAACTCCCAGATGTCCTTTCTTCCCAAAGTCACCATAATTACTCCTGTAAAAGCCATAGGCCACACCCATTCTCTTCAAGTTCAAAAAATGGGCCCTAGGGACCACTGCCTGAGGTGTTTCTGATGTGAGAGAAAGACCATGTTTGGAAGCCCGAGTGCAGAGTCACAATCAGGAAGTGCAGGCAGCTGGTGTGTGAAGAATTGGGGACATCAAAATGATCTTCCTTTGGCTGAGAGAGCAAGGCCCAACAGCATTTGGTCCCTCTCCTCTCTGCAGGAGTGAGGTCCATCCACTCACATTCGAATGCAACAACCAGGCAGGAGGAGAGTGGATTGGTTCCCATCCCCCGGAGCATGGGGGATCCAAGCCAGGCTGAGAAGTGTCGGAAGAGAGCCCCAAAGGCTCTTTGGGCCCAACAAATAAGATCAATTCTAAGTCACAGTATTGGCACCGAGCAGGCCTGAGAGGTCTGGGGCCAGAGCCATGGATGTCCACCAGGGTAAGGGAGACTGGAGGCTGGGCCCAGTAGCAGAGAGGGCAGAAACCATTCTCCTCTGCCTCTCATCTCCCCCAAAATAAAGCCTGAAATAAGACCCTCAGAGCTCACTCATGCTGTCTGGCTTCTGAGGAGCAAAGTCAGGCAATGAGGCAATGGCAGACACTGTTTCCACACAGCCTTGGTGAAGCGTGCCCCAGGCACTGAACTTCAGGCCATCTGAACAGAGGCAGCGATCTCCTGAGGGAGTATTGGCGTGTGTGTGTGTGTGTGTGTGTGTGTGTGTGTGTGTGTGTGTGTGTGTGTGTGTGTGTGTGTGTGTGTGTACACAAGAGACTGTCGGGAGAGGGGAATAAGGTAGGGATTGGCAAAAAGGATAACAGTGCATTAAAAAATAACAGATAAAGTCAGACTCTTACACACATAAATTACAAACAAAAAAGACTGATGAAAGGGTGGGAGGGGGGTGGTGTGGAGGCTGAGGACCCAGTCTAGCTTGTGTCCCTCTGGCCTGGCCTTCTCTCAGCCAAGGCTGATCCATCTTTGTCCTCCCAGGGAAAGAGACAACTGGGGCCTGGCCAAAGCCCCTGGGGAAAAAGCCTGTGGTCTGTCAGGTCCAGGCCCTTGTATGGCTGCCCCTGGGGTGGGGCCCACTAGATGTCCAAAGAGAGGGCCGGGACTCAGGCTTTTGGAGCCAGGACCCTCCCCAAACTGGAGGCCAGTGGAAGATAGCTCTCATCGGAGCAGGGGTGAGGATAGAGGAAGGTCTGCATTTCCTCCCTCCCCTGACAGGCAGGCAGGGGGAAATTATATATTAAAAAAAGCCATGAGTTTACAAAAATAGAAAATAATTACAACAACTGGCAGGAGGCAGGGCTGGAGGTGGACAGGGGCATCAAGGGGCCGAGCAATGCCGCAGGGCAGGCTTATGTAAGGCGTCCTCAACCAGGTGCAGCTCCTTCTGGCCCACCACCACTCCCCGCAAGCAGCCCACAAAGCCCGTGCTGTATGCCTTGGGTAGGCTGTGTGCCACAGTCAACTTCTCCAGGCCCCCTGGGTGAGACAACAGGGTGAGAGAAGCAGGTCAGTCAAACCAGGCAGGCACTGTCTTCCTGGCAGGGGGACTCCCTCCATGCCCTCACACCCCTTCCCTGCCTTCCCAACCTGCTCCCACCCCTCAGTCCATATACCCTTCCCACTGTCAGGCAAGTGGCTGTAAGAGTGGCCTGAGTTGAGGGAACAGACAAAGAGAAGCTAATCTGTACAAACCTTAAAGAAGGAGAAAATGACCCTTCCTCCCTTCTTTGAAGAGGTGAGGGAGGGGGGAAAGGGCATGGAACACGGCATACACTGCCAGACTCAACTGACACATTAGTTGGTTTGTTAAACATTTTTCCCCTTTTGTTTTTCTTTTGGTTACAAGGGATGGCAAGATGGGAACAGAAGTGAAGAAGGGAAGGATAAATATAGGAGGATGTTTTGTTTCATTTTGTTTTGTTTTGTTTTTCCAGAAATGAAGGAGATGTAAGAATAAAAGAGATCAATAAAAATTTTAAATCTAAAGAAAACAAAGCCATGTTCAGCCTAAGGGGCAGAGTGGCTTCGGAGCAGCCCAAGTCACATGTGACTGTGATGCATTCCTAAGCCACAAACATAACCCATGTCTCTATGGGGCCTGAGTGTCTTAAAGTGCTTAACATAAAATTAGTCTGCTTGAGACCTGCAGGGAATACAGGTCCATTTCATAGATGAGGAAACTGAGGCTCAGATAGTGAGCATGGAACCCAGGGCTTCCTAATTCCAAGTCCAGCAGAAATGATTCTTGGATTTCTAGCTGCTCTTGCTTCCTTCACTGTCCCTGACTTGGTATATGGAGAAGAGAGCTGGACATTTGTCTGAAATGCTATAGATGTCACATGTCCCTGGAGGGTCTGACCCATCCTGGACCCCCCGTCCAGATGGAGCTAAATTCCTCCAGCAGAGGTAATAGCTGAACCCCATCATCTCCAATCTCACTGGGTTAGTAAGAAATGTCTGTTGATTGACTGAAGGGAATCCTAATTATTATTATTATATAATCCTATTATTATTATTATGATTAGGGCAGATTGACCTCCTAAGAAATGACTTTCCCTTTTCAGCTGTAGCTCACCCAGCCAGAGAGCTCCATCTGTGTCCAACTGCGTGGCCCCCAGAGGGGAAGATCCTGTCACTGGGGCCTCATTGCCGACCTGAAGGGAGCCTTCCCTTTGTACTCTGGGGGGGAGGGAGAGAGAGCAGGGAGATTGAATTAGCTCCTTACACACACACACACACACACACACACACACACACACACACACACACACACGAGGTTCCCAGGCACACGCCACAGCCCTTTTTCCCACTTCGCCTCCTCCAGGTAGCCTACTGAGATTGCTACTGTCTGACTAGTCTTGCTGCTCTGGGCCCTGCCTGACTTGTACTAAGAATCCTCTGCTTTCTTGGGTTAAATCCATCTCCTATCTGTTTCTGTGTGGTTATACATACGTGTTTTCATGCATGCAGCATGTCCTAGGGCACAAATGTGGGCATGCCTAT